AACCGAGGGCATCACATCAGAATAAGAGACAAAGGGGCTCGAATCTCAGAGCCGAAACTATAATATATTCAGGGAGCCCTGATCACTTCCTACAGTTCGAGCTAATGATATATATATATAAGGTACAAACGGAATATGTGTTTTCATAATTATTTTTAAGAAAACAAATTGAGAAAAAAATGTAAGAAAAATCATTGTAATAAACATTGTAAAGTAGAAAAGTAATAAAAATAAAACGTGTAAAAACATCGATTTTAAATATTTTAATTACAGTATTTATTTAAAAAATTAATTAAATTTAATTTTTACAATCAAAATTCAAAACAAAATATTAAAAAAAACAAATAATTAATTAAATTTAAAGTTGCGAGGAATGATTATATACGAGGGATGATTAGAAAGTAAGAATACAAAGCCTGTAAATTCCAGCAGGTATTCACGTGAAAGGCTTCTACGCATATATACACACTATTTCTCAACATGGTTTTCCATCTGGTTCAGACATTTATCCCAGTGTTTCAAGAGGTTCACGATGCCTGTCTCATAAAAATTGAAGTCCTGTTGTCGAAACTAAGTCCTTTCTTCGTCCTACACATCGTCATCCAACGTCCTCCGAGATGTTTCTTCAAAGGAGAAAATAGATGACAATCACTGGGAGCGAGGTCCAGGCTGTACGCTGGATGTTGGAGCACACTCCACCCAAAATCCAGCACGACGTCACGTATGGTGACAGCCATATGTCATATTGCAGAACGACTTCATTGGTGAAAAATCTGGACTTCTTTTTCCGAATCGCTCTTGTTAAATCATGGTCATCTGTCGGATGTTCGAGGTCGATCGCTGCGTTCTGCATCACCAATTTCTTTTCTTCCCTCCGCGGATAGTCGACACCATATTGCAATTCATTACTGCTTACATACCCCATAAACAGCAACCAATTCATGTTGGATTTCCGCCGGCGGCAGATCTTTCGCCCACAGAAAACGAATAACAGATAACACTTCCAAAAGTATCCAGAGTAGCCATCTTTACGTTTAATGACGAACTTTACAGGATTGCAAACCACGACAATTATGGCTAATCCGTGGCACGGAGAGTCTTTTTTTTGGAATATACGCTATTCCCCTATTTCACCAATAGACGATTAGACTAAGGTGACCAGACGTCCCGATTTTTAACAATTTCTCACGCGTCCCGCGGTGTTTTAAAAAAGTCCCGAGTTTTGGAAAGATTTTTGTCAATTATGTGTCATAAACTTGTTTCTTACGTTTAAGATTCATAAAGATCATTGTGTATCAGACTTAATGACTATCTTAAATACAGGATTACTGATTTTTCGTTCCACCATTTTAAGATTAGTTACTAATGCCAGATTACGTCTAATCGATCAAATTCGGGTGATTAGTGCAAATATATCCGAAATAAAAAGATCACTCAAGGAGGTTATTAAAATGGGATTCTCTCCTCTTCAGCTTTTCACGTTTTAGGACAGCGATGGCGAACCTTCTTCTTTCGAAATTTAGTAAGTTAACATCGAATCGCGGGTCAAATATTTAATTTGAGTAATTAAAAAAATTGCTTACAAATTTTACTTCATTGTTATTTTTCTGATATACAGGGTGAATCGAAAGTAGGTGGACGGTAGATGAAATAGCGTTTGTGTTAGGATTATACTATAACAATGGTGTATATTTAACTTGGTTACGGTTGAAAAATTACAGGAGATGCATTTCAAGAAATTAATACACAAAGATACTCGAGCTAAAATATTTGTCGAAGCGTGAAATGTAGACTTCAAAGCTGCGTAAATTATGATGGACAGCAGTTTGAGCGGCCACGTTGATAAAATTGTATTGCATTGTATTCTATTAGTATATATAATTGTATGTATAATCTCAATATATGTTATCATTTACTGTCCACCTACTTTATTTCTACCCCGTATATTAAAAAGTTAAACAAACTCTATATATGTGAAAAGAAAATAATGATTATAATAGATAAATATTTCGTTTAACGAGAAATCTGCTATTGTTTGATTATCATTTCTGAGGTTCGTAATTAGTGGCCTTTAAGACTTTTCACAACAGCTTTGTATATGCAATGTGAAAGTAGGTCCTTAAGTAAAGTTTTGAAATCTATCATTTTTTTTTTAATTTTTGAAAAACTATACTCTCTAAACTCAATGCGTGTACCTTGAAATCATTGCGCGGGTCACGGATTCGCCATCACTGTCCTAAAAATATGTTATATACTGGTACATCTTTCAGCAGTATATTTATCTATATCGGTAAGCGTTAAGTTGTTGCAATTATCCTTTCATATCAAAAGTCCTATTACAGAGCTTCCAACGGAGCTATTGACTTGCAGCAATATAAATAAATAAGAACATGCTATGTAATCATTGATCAAAATACTTATACATAACGATTTTTGTAATAAAGTTATTTTAAATACGAGCATTTCTGTGACTCTTTAAGACATCATTCTATTAACACTCCCCCAATCCGTGTCATAAAAGTTTTACATCTTTCCTTCTCAGTGCTGACGTCGTCGTATTTGAATGACTTCTAGTCACTTGACTTGTCCACTCGAGATGAAGACGTACTGTATGTGTGATCCGCGCTGTTTGTTCATAAATATTTTCATACATTTTTAATATGTAATTGCTTCTCTGATGTATGTCCGATAAAACCTGTTCATTAATATTCTAATCTTTTAACTATTCGTGTATTAAAAAACGGATCAGTAAAAAGTTTCACCCTATCTCCACATAGCCCTGCCTCCCTTACCCTGTGCGGAGATGTACCGTAATTGGTTCTTAATTCTTTTGATGCCACGGAACACTTTCGAATTTAAGAAAAATTTACGTAACATAAGGAAATTAACTTTTAATACTATTGGAAGAAAATATTACATGTACTGCTATAACGGAAATAATTCCCTCAACGTTTTTATTGTGAAACGAAGGGAAACATCTATTGTATTACTTTCCTCTCTGTTATTAAAGGCTATATAATAGAGGGAAAGTATGGCGAGCGGTCGAAAAAAAATGAACACCCCAATATTTTTACATTTTTAGACTTAAGACACCTTAAAATGTCGAGAAATGTAAAAAAAAAATTACATTTCGCGACATTTTTTTTCGACACGGGTTTTTCCAGTGTATAGGGGGTAATACGATTTTGTTCACCCTGTTTGAAGCTTAATAACGCCTGTGCTTTTTGTCGAAAATGTCTGAAATTTTGCAGGAAGGTTTGTGTATTAGGAAATTTATGCTATTAAATCTTGGTTGTTAAAGGTCGACCGGGTGGGGAAATGAAGGGGGTCGTGAGTCATATCTCGGGTAGGATCAGACTTAATGACGATTTTACTCGTTATTAGCATTTACATTTTTTAAATAAAACCCACCGCTGCCCTCAAAATTACGCTTTTTAATAATTAAAAATAGGATATTTTATTTAAAAAACTTTATAACAGATGGCACCACACACGCAATTTTAACTGTTACGGAGAAAGTTAAACAACTGGCGGCTAAATTTTTTTTTTAATGAGATTTTTCCAGATATTTTTTCTGAAATGGCATTTATCTGCGGACGTCAAAATATTTTCATTTTTTCCTTCGATATTTGTATTAACATTATTCAAGTAATTAAAAATATTGGCTAAATATGCTATTTTAGCAGATCAAATATCATTCTTAAGACATTTTATACAAGCATTTGTACGTTTATTTTGGAAAAAAGATCAGCAATTCATTCATAAGTTCTACAAATGGCATAGCACTTCTTTATCCCTGAATAACAATCTTACTTCAGCATGTTAAAAGCAAAGATTCGTACTGAGCTTCTAGGTATTCAATTTTTTTAAAAGTTATGTTTTAACATTGTCGGTAATGTTTTTGTAATTAGTGATTCTCTACGAAAAAAATACATATATAATAGTTTAGATATATTTGAGTTTCTTGTCTTTTCAAAGGTAACAAAGGCAGTTCATTGCAAAATGAAAGGTACACCTTGTCTGCTTATAAACTGCGAATTGCTAAAGTTAGTCCAATAACAGCTTCAGCTAGTACACCGCTTTCATAATTTCGCAGTACACCTATTAAGAAACACTGTTATAGAGGGATCCTACTGCACTGTACATTTATGCGGACTGTTCTGTTAAGTAAACTCGACTGTATATTCTAAAAAATTATACAATTACTATTACATTTTATTATACTAATGTATTAAAATAATGTAAATACAGTGTATCACTTATTGAAAGATTATAACTTTAAACGAAAATAAGTAGTCGTGAATTAAAAAAAAACACGCTATATTCTAACGGGGTAAACTGGATTTTTAATGTTTGTTTATTGTTATTTTTATATTGATGACATAAACCTATATTTCATAGTTTAGAATAATACTTTTTGGGGACTGTCGTTGTCTATTTTTGCTTAACAATTAAAAATAAGTTTTTAACCTTCATTCTGGCTTGAATACATAAGAATTATTAAATTATTATATTTATACATCATCTTCACCCAATATTAACTTTATATCAATCCTAAAAATCTTCATAATAAAGATGTTTTCAATAATAATTGAACTGTAGATTTTAAAACTACAGTAGGAAGAAACTATCTTTAAATAAATAGCATGTGCTGATTATCACTTCCATAACATTTCAGTCAGAATTTTGTTACAAAAAATATATCTTTATCTGTCACATAGAAATAAATATATTTTTATCATCGAGATTAACCAATTTAATTTACCAATTATCAAGAGAATTGGTAAATTAAATTTAAAATATTTAAAATCAATGCATTGTTAATTATATTACTGCTAAATACATTTCTATTAATTTGCATATATTATTTATAGAATGAGTGAATATGAACTGTTCACTTTAATTAATAATGTATAAAAATGGCAATAATTAATAATTCTTAAAAAACTGAATTTTTACTTCATATAAATTGAAAAACTATTTTAAAAAAATGTCTTTTATTCACAGTTAATTTTACCTCACAAAAATAATACACAACATTTGAATATCTTATACACAGCAACATTTGAAATAAATGAAATATACAATAGACGAATTTTGTAAACCTAAAATAAAAGTCATTTTCTTTGACAGGATGTGACAAAATTTAACCCAACATTTTTAAACAAATTAATGAAATATTACCATTTTACTTTCATTGAAAATATTCAAGACAAAGATTTTCATAATATCAAAATCTTGATAAGACTATTACAAAAAATATCTATAAAACATATTAATTAAAATATTCATTAAAAAATTATTTCATGAAAAAGAATTAAAAAGTGTATTATAAATTCAAATCAGATAAAGTATTTAATTTATATTTATACAAATAAAAATTTTCTCATAAATAACTGGGTGCCAATAAAATAAATTTTGTGGCCTACTTTTGAAACATTCCCACTGTAACCACCATGCACAAGCAAGCTGCTTATCGTAAAACATCTTGTGAAACAATTAGGTCAGTCCCATAATATCCATTTGAACCTCATTTTCAAATTAGAAACAATTTTTTATACGGGCTCAATCTTCTGTTGTTCTCATGAACAGAAATTATTGCCGTGACTTGTATCGGACTCTTCCCTCTCTTCTGATTTAAACCGAATGGCAGTTGTTAACTTTTCTAACATTCCAACTAAATGGAGCAGTGGAAACTTCTTTAAATTTTCAAGAGTGAATGATGATTGGAGCATTTCCATTTCTGTAGGTAATTGGACTTCTGTTAAAATAAAATAGTAATTTGTAAGAACTACTATAAAAAATATTACTTTAAAAGAAAACCAATACTTACTGTTTTCTGCTTCCATTTCACTAATTGAAGCAATAGTGTTATCTTCTTCAGATGATAAAGTTTCATTTTCTTCTATTAACAAACCACAATGTGGTCTATTAAATATTTTATCAGGTAATGGAGAAGAATCCTGATATTCCATTTTATTTCCTTTCACTATCACTTGACTTAATTCACAACTTGATGCTTCTTCACATAAAATATTAAAACTATTACTTTCACTCAATGTCACTTTAATATCTTCTTCTGTATCAGATGAATTTTTACCTTTTTCAACATCATTGATTAATTTCTCTAAAATCATTCCAGATTCTTTTTCCCTGTCATCAAAACCATCTGTGCATATTTCTTTTGACTGTTGTGCCGTATTTTCAGTAATATCAACAAATTCATTATTTGTACTTAGTTGATTCATATCAATATGATGCAAACAGTTTTCTGCCACATTATTGATCAATTCATTGATGATTGGATAAATTTCATTAATTAAGTCTTCTGTACTTTCAACTGGAACATTATTAATTGTTTTAATTATAACAGAATTACAAGGAAGTCTTTCTTCAAAAACATTCTTAATTTTATCAGGAGATTCATTTATAATGGGTAAAGACTCAATTTCTTCTGTAGAAGCTATATTTGGTTTATCTTCAATATCATCATTATCAGAAATTTCATACATAATTGTATTATTGTTACTATTATCTGTTGTGTTAATTGAGCAAATACTAATTTCTTCTACATATTTTTCTTCTACATTATTAAATGAATTTTCTTCTTCATTAGAACATTCCATTGGCATAGATTCATCAACTATTTCTCTAGATTCATCTCTATTTTTAAGATGCGAATTGTTAATCTTTTCTGCTTTTACTACCTTATTTATATCATTTTCAAATTCAGTACTCGAATCTGATACTTCCGATCCAATTTTATCATCATTTGTTTCAAATTCCATACTTTCTTCAATAACAGAAAATTTACTTACTACCTCATTTGAAAATGCTTTGCAATCATTCTCAAACTGGCTTTCTTTGTCCAATGATACACCAAAATCCCGTGTTTGTATGTTATCCTCTAATGGTAATTCCTCATCATTTTGAAACTCCCTTCCTTCCTCAGACAACATATGTAATTCTTGACTATATTCATTTTCTTTATCTAATGTTGTTTCTTGAGCATTTTGAAGTTTAACTTCATCTTCTGATGTGTTGAATTTTTGAGTAAATTTCTCTACTTCATTTAATATTTCATGGTTGTTTTCAAATTTATTTTCTTTTTCCAATAAAACACTAAACTCTTGAGTGTGGTTATTTTCTCTTTTAAGGAATGCTTCTTGATCACATTTAAGACTACTTTCCTGTTCAGATAATATGCCAAATTCTTCTTGAGCTTGTTCAGTTTTTTCATTTAATGATATTTCTTGGTCATCTTTAAAATTATTTTCCTCTTCTAATGATACATTAAATTCTTGGGTGTTCATATTTCCTGTATTCAATGATATTTCTTGGTCATCTTTAAAATTATTTTCCTCTTCTAATGATACATTAAATTCTTGGGTGTTCATATTTCCTGTATCCAATGATATTTCTTGATCTTGTATCTTACTTTCCTCTTCTGATATCAGCCCATTATCTGATACACTGTATTCCCGACTGCAATTATTTTGTTCATCTAATGACACTTGATCACTTTGAACTTTGCTTTCTTCTTCAGAAAACACATTAAATTCCTGAATACTTTCTAAATTTTTTTCATCTAATAATGTTTCCTTATCATTTTGATAGTTTTCTTTTATTAATGAGCTTTGAAGTTTGTTTAATTCAGCCAAAGCTAATTCCTGATGGTTTGAGAACTCTTCATTTTCATCTAATAATTCTTTCTGATCATTTAATAATCTCTCTTCATCTATTAAATCATGGTCGTTATTTAGTAATTTATCTTCATTCAAAAAATCATCCCGATCATTTGAAAGTAAGCATTCTTCTAGTAATACATCATCATCTAGTTCTGAGACAGAGGCATTTAATGAATTTTTTGATGTATTTTCATCATTAACTTCTTGAGAAATTATACTTCTTGAAAGATTTCTTTCTAAATCTTTATGGAATTTTTCATAATAGTGCTGAAGTACTTTTCTTGCAGTTTCCAGTTTTGGAGACTTAATGGGAAGTGCCAACATTTCAGCTATAGTGAGAGAACAAAGATCTCCAATGGTACAGATGTTACGAGCATGAACCAACTGACCAAGTCCACGAGGCCTGATAAAGGAAAAAAAAATTTATTAACTTTTATACAGTACTGATTTTTATTTATTATTATGATGAAATATATTATGTAAGTTTTTAAAATATAAAAATAAATTTACCATATAGAACAAGTCAGGAATGGCAATATACTATCTACAGGATCTGAACAATTGCTTAGAGCTGGAAAAACTTTCTCTTCTGAGTCATACAGAGATAATGGTGTATTCTGATATTCTTCAGAAAAGTATGGTGAAGATTCTGATGATAATAAATTCTATATAAAAATATTTAATAACAATATAAATTAATTATTACAAATAATTTTTTAAATAACTTAATTTAGTTCTACCCAGATATTTTTGAAAAATTATTAACCTTTAATAATATAAGATTCAAAATATAGCCCAGAGAAAGTGAATGTTTGTTAAGTTTCATTTATTTCTCAATTGATAAATTAGATCAGTTCAACAAAACAATAAAAAAAAATTACATTAAACCACTTTATATAAACTTATCATAATCATTAAATATATTCAATTAATGGATTTTCTCTTCATATATTAACAGTAAATTCACTCAAATTATTACATTTAATAAATTAATTTCATTTCAGGTTATCTATCTAACAGATATCTAAAATATTTTAAAGTTTTTAGTAAAATTTGACTTATATTTTAAAGGAAATATTAAGAAGAGACAAATATTTACCAATATCCTAGTTAAATAAAAGCTTTAAGATTTATGCTACTCTAAAAATTTTAATTGAAAATGTCATAAGAAAGAATTTGTGTGGAAATTTTTTTATACATTAATTCAGATTTATAAAATATAATAAAATCTGCTTATTGTAATAATGAATAATAAAGTTTATCTGTCATTTATCTATTACTAGAATTAAGATGTCTCAAAACATAAAATGTAACATTATAATAATAAAAGTTTTTTAAATGATTAAATCACAGTTGTTATTATCTTCATGTAATTAAATATAACATTTTTAAGCTCTATTTTCATGTTATCAGCCTCAATGTGTAGCTAAAAATGCATAATCATTATCAATTTTAAGTAGCAATTTAAGTGTTAAATTTATTAAAGTAGCCTAAAATAATTTTAAATTTCTGATATACCTTTTTTCCAATTATAAACCACTTGTTGTAAAAAAATGGTAATGCAATTATAATGTGAATTATATTTTCTAGTATATAATTATATACTAGAAAATATAATTCACATTATAATTGCATTACCATTTTGCATTACCAATAATTGCATTAATTTCTAGTATATAATTATATACTAGAAATTAAAATTTGCATATTAANAGTCTCCACCAATTGAAAGATTAAGATAATTAAAAAATATTTTAAGGCCAAATAAAACCATAATTTTCATGTTATGCTTCAGTTATCTTTAGTTTAGGCAAGTCTCAAAATGATTACAATAAGTGGATTCCATTGTAAATATAATGATATATAAATATATCACAAATAGCAGAAATAATATTAAAGTGTTCCTACTATACAATACTAATTATAGTGAATATAAATTTATTATGATCTAAATATAATTAAAAAAAAATTATTATACAAAATGAAAAGTTGAAAACAAAACATTTTTTTGCACTAAATATTATAGTAAATAATAAATATCTATACTAAAGAATTTGTATAATATATTTTTATTTAGTTTCATTGATTTATAAAAACAAATTAAAGCAAAAATGAAAATGCAATAACATTATTAGTTTTAGAATAATATAGAATTAAATAATTCATATAATTGGAAAGTTACTCGCCTTTTCTAATTCAGCTGCTTGAATAGAAGAAAGAGCCTGCTTGGCACCTTTGGTCATCTCCAGACAGCGGCTGACATTTTTCTGGGGCACTTTGCATGCATAACAATTCTCTATTGGAATTTCATACTCAACTAAAGGATCAGCAAATGATACTTTTCTTTGCTATAAAACATTATATATATTTTTTTAATAATTAAAACTACTCCATTAAGATATTTTATTCCTATTGCTATAAATAAGAAATTTATCATCATAGTGTAAATATTTAAAATATATAATGATATGCTACCTGATCGGGAAACAGGATAAGAATTGTGAAGAGTATTTAAGCTTCTGAAAGGTTCCGCATTTTAAAATTATTTTAAACCAAATTGTGTTTTCATATAATTATATGAAATATAATTGTGCTACATACAAACAAATATTATACAATTATAAATAAGTATCATCACATTAAAAATTGATTATAAAGGCTACAAATTACTTAACTCAGAAATTTAGATTAGGGTTGTTGAAACAATGCAATATTTGACAATTTGCCGAGATAGACATCCTGGGAGAACTTTCTATAGGAAATTAGACCCTATTTAGACATTAGATATGTTAAATAACTCAGAAAATACTACATGGCCAGCATACTGGCCAGATGCAAACCTGGGACCAACTACCAGTGTTCAGTGGTTTTATCGACTTGACCACTAACTTTAGATTAGGAGACAGTTAACATGCTACTTCTAAATATTTTAATAAAATTCATTTCTAATTTAATCAATAATTTAGAAATAAAAAGAAGAGATCAGCCAAAACAAGATTTGCAATACCAAGAGATTAGAAATAAAGTAATTTGGCTATAGGAATTGAGTTGATATTGTTGTTACAAGATTGAATGTTGTTACAAGATTTGCAACTTTTACAAATTAGGCACACAGTCAGCCTTTCATATCTGCAGATTCAACCAATCACAAATTGAAAATATTCAAGGGAAAAACATTCCAGAAAGTTTCTAATCAATTCTGCTCCTTGATGAACTGCATGAGCAGTATAAGTTACACCAATCATTTCTGGAAATTGTTCTTTTAAGCCTCAGTATAATTTGATCTTGTATAGAGCAGTGGTTAGAATAGTTACAAATTTTGCTACAGAAATCCCTGTTCATTTTTTCATAGTAGTCGTATAGCATTGTTTACAGCTTGAGGAACAGTAACATTATTATAAGACTCAAGAGAAGAAATATCTAATAAAACAGGGGCTCTTCAAGCTCTTCATCCACTTTGCCAATTAAAATTGTCAAAATAAATCTAGTCCGATAACCCAGAAAGTCATTCCCCTTAGGCGCTGGTTAGTTTACTAATCATTCACATGGTTGAAGATGTACTATATATACAAGTAACCGATCAGCATGATTTAAGAGAAAAAGAAAAGTCAATTCTTCTCAAAGTGAATTTCTGTAATCAGATTTTATTTACAAATTTTAATTTTTTGTTAATTGCTGAAATTGTTTGCAAACTAAAAAATGTATGTCATTAGGAAATACAGTAGAGCGTCAATTTTCCGAAAGTCAATCATCCGAAAGAATTCCAGTCGGCAAATTTAAATTTTCGCCCGTGCTGTCGCGCTTCAATCTTTGGCTATGTCTTGGGCTACTCAAGTATTTTACGTTTTTGATACTAAATAAACATCTGAAGTATAATTTTTTATTATTTTTATATTTTTCGATATATTTATTTTGTTTGTACAAAATAAAAAAATAATTTTTAAGGATACAATAGTCTTTGTTAGGCTTAACATCGATGAAAATTCAACGCGAAGCGACACGCAACGGAGAAAAATTTCGACATCGGATACGTTAAACTATTTTTTCATACGTAAATCAGTTATCCGAAATATCAGTTATCCGGACAACCCCAGTCCCCAATTGATTTGGAAAATCGACGCTCTACTGTATGTGAATGAAAATTTTGGTAGAAATTGAGTTACAAAGTTTTATCTGGACAGACAGTCAGAGTAATTTAATTAAAAAATAAAAAAAAAAAGCAGATAAAAAATACACTAGAAATTTTTTTTTTTGAGTTTCAAAAAAATAAACCTAAGATTTATTTTCAAGAATTTCCCTTTAGCCATCTCATTTAGCCCTTCTATCCCTAAGATTTGTTAACCTGAGACATATTCTGGTCATTGTCTCTCATCTCAGAGACAGTGTCACAAGCCAGTCACTTAATGGCTAATTATTTGTTTTTGTCTTAAGAGATCATCATATCTCTCCAAAATATGATTTTAGACAACTTTTTCTCTCAAAGACTCTCGTCTCCCAGAGACAAGTGAATAGTTGTCATTTGACTGATCTTTTATCTGTTGCCTCCTCAATCACAGAATAGAAAGAGATGCTACTTGCACTGTACAATTGCATTAGAAAACATTCTCTATCTTGGTAAAGACTATTTCAAGAGATATAATGCTTCTGATTTTTTCCCAGTGCCTCGGAAACACCATTGACTCCGTCTTCTTTTAATGATCTTATATCAATTACTAAACTATTGAATATGCTGTTAATCTTATCTGTCTCTCTAAGTAGTTTTCAAAACATTACCATCTAATTACATACCAACATACCATCTACCATCTAATCTAATCCAGTCAAATTATTAGGTTAAATATAGACATGTGGTACATTAACACTTGTAGAGACCAAAATACAGGTATACCATTAAAAACATTGCAAATTCCTTGTAGTATTAGTAATTGTATCCAAAGACATGAAATTAATATTGTAGAAAAGATTATATTAAGATCCTTGATTAACTCTAAAAAATATAAAATTAAAAAACTAAAAAAAAAATTTTTAAATTAGGGAGCAATTTAAATAACACCAGGAAACAGGATAAGAATTGTGAAGAGTATTTAAATAAGAAAATTAAAAAACTAGAATGTAAGTTAGATTACCCTTTAATTTCAAATAAAGAACAGTGAAAAAACAAATTTGTACTTAATCATAGTGATGTAGAGATCCTATCTGATATAAGATATACTCTGATTTTGGACTAGATTTTAATGGACCCACCACTTTAAATAAAAGAAAAACTGTAGTAGATTTAGAAGTAGGTTTAATAAATCATGAGCATCAAGAAGTTCAATCAATTAGAAATAATATCCAAACTTTAGTGAAAAATTATAGATTAAAGAAACAAGAAAATAATAAAATTATACAGTTTAAAAATAGAATAAATAAGGTTAAAGAATTTATAGAAAATAATCATCTAATATTAACAAATGCTGATAAAGCAAAACAAACAACAGTCTTGACTAAACATAATTATAACAACATAATATTAGAGATCTTAAAGAAAGGAAATTATATATTACTTAAAGATAATCCTGTGGATAATCTAAAACAACAAGTTATAAAGGTTATAAATAATTTTTCAAAACTTATTTACATAGATAATAACACTGCTAAAGATATTAAATGTTTTGGTAATAGAGTTCCAAAATTAAGTTTTAGAGTGAAAACAAAAAACCTGTTGCATATTATCCTTTGATATATATTCAAAAATATTTACTGTATAATCTTGAAATAGCAATAAAAAAAGAGGTAAATAAATTATCTGTATCTGAGTACAGTAATACCCCGAACTTACATGATAGGTGGGACCGAGCGATAACCGCGTAAGTCGGGGTATAATTTTGCAATTTGTGTAAAATCCAAGTTGGATATATGTAAGCTAATAAATGTTCTCGTTAATCTTACATCGTCTTTTGATTCGTTCACGATTACAAGAAATCGCCACATAGAGTCTCTCAAGTCTCCGTAGATATAACAAACACAGAAATAAATAACACAAAATAAATTGTAGTTATGTGTCGATTCTGTGCGACACGTCCAAACATGTAAGATGAACAATAGTGTGGCGGGAGTGAGTAATCAAGAGTTTCGTGGCGCTCAAACAAAAAATGAATGAACAAGATTTGAAAATCGCATAAGTCAGGGTAGCGTAAGTCGATGTACTACTGTATAGTATTACAAACATCAACCAATTCTTAAATAACATGTAAATATTACAGACAATCGAAAGGTACACCAATGGAATTCTGCATAGGTCCTAGATTAGCAGAGTTGTGCATGATCATAATTAATAAAGAAATCAATAAAACTCAAGGAATAATAAGTTGTCAAAGATATCGTTCATCGTTTACGATAAAAGCATACTAGGTATTGACTCTTTTGTTAATGAAATTAATTTAATAAATAAAAATGTTCAATTCCAATGTGAAAAAGAAATAGATAATAGTCTGAATTATTTAGAACTTACTATAGTTAGATTAAATAGTAAATTATTATTTAAAAAGTATGTTAAAGAATGTGCTACAGGTAAAGTTATACACTTCAAATCTAATATACCTTTATATATGAAAAAGAACACTTTTCAGATGCATATTAACAAAATTAAAGAGAGAACAACCATGCAAAATGATCAAGAAATGGAAATAGAAAATATAATAAGAATGTTTAGCTTGAATAATTATCCTAGAACATTATTGTTAAAATGGTTAGAAACAAGTAAAAGGAAAAGAGAAAATGTCTAACTTCCAGTTGTCTATACCAACAACTTCCGGTTGTCTATTTAATATATAGACAACTGGAAGTTGCTAAAACATTGTATCTTAAAATGGAATGTTTTTTTCAAAATTAAAAACTCAGTGTTTTTTTAAAAATTAAAAAATATAGATATTACTTTAGTACCAAACCATACAAGAATCATAGCAAAAACGATCAACTGTAAATATAAAAATACAGTCGACCCCTATAACACTGTTAATAATTCCGTTTTATATGAATTCCATGTTGTACGAGTCACTTAGATTTTACAAATACATGTACGGCTCACGTATTTGTAAAATCTAAGTGACTCGTACAACATCGAATGCATATAACACGTAATTATCAACAGTGTTATGGGGGGGTTGACTGTAATGAACATAATGATTTAGAAAAAGATAATGTAGTTTATTCATTGGAATGCAGCTGTTCACATAAAAAAAGACACATTGGTGAAACCAGAAGGAAATTAAAAACAAGAATTAAAGAACATATATATGCCATCAAAAACAATTTAATATCATCATCAGTGGCACAACATTGCAATACCAAAGGTTGTAAAATTTTAAAAGATAGTGTCAAGAGTATTCTGACAAAAAACAATCAATTAAAAAGAAGATTACAGGAACACAGAAATTCTGAAAATACAGGAAGACATTAGAATTAATAACAACATGAGACTGAAACTATATGAGGGATGGAATGACATTGTTTTTACATAAGCTTGAAACAGATGCTGAACAGATATGGGAGTAAAGTCACATCACATTGTAAAATGAAAATTGTAACAAGACAGTTGGCTTCACACGGTCTTATAGATTTGGTGTATTTGTTTTGTTTAAGGTCAGGAAACCAATTATTTTAATAATTGTAAGTTCATTGTTAGTTTCCCTCCCTTTTGGTTTTAATACATTTAACAATATTTTATTATTAAAAGTTGAACAGTCTACCAGAATTTGGAAAATGTGGGAGAAAATAAGACATAATTGAAGTTTAGACTATGTACAAAAAGTCAAATTAACTTTTGAGTCCATCTTTATCCCTTATACACTACCACAGAAGTAGCAGTCTTAAAAAATTGCTGTAAAGAACTCTTCTTTGAAGGACTCAAAAGTTAATTTGACTTTTTGTAAATAGTCTAAACTTCAATTATGAAGAAAATACATCCTGAGTTATCACAAAAATTGTAAGAAAATAAGACATTTACTGGTCCCAAATAATGTAATATATCACATTAATACATAAAAAAATTTTATGCTTGATAGTTTTTAGTTCTTTAATATATGGTTTGTATTAACTATTGCAAATACAGTGCACTGTATATATCAAAAATTCCTTTGTATTGGTTAACTACTAGTGTTATAATTGTATGTATGCTAACTTGGTACTATGTATTTGTAAACTGATGAGGGGTCCTTGCATTCAAAATGCATCCTTTCCTAAATTTGATGGGGATTACTAAAAGGCTAATTTTTTTGTAAAAGATCTGGTCTATTTTTCAGTCAGCCTTGGTGTGATAAGCCCTCCAAATTGTTAAAATTCTATTTATTAGGTTATCTAACTCTCTAAATCTAATTTCTCCCTAACTAAGTACATATGCTTTTCTAACTTAGGTTATTAATATATTTGTTTCTTAAGAGACATTACCTGAGACATTTTGACATTACAATCTGTAAAAATGCTATAAAACACATCTTTGTCAAAATTACATGCTTTATTTGAATTCATGCTTTTCTTACCACTTGATTTATAATTTCATATTCTGCATTTTCAAAAATTTTAAATTTTATTGGTTAAAATTCTATACAGTGTTGCACACACAGATAAACTGAACATGTATAATCAACCTAATAGAATTGTGACATCAACAACAAAGACAAGATTGTTATGAACAACCAGAATTGCCTGAATTGCCAGAATCTCTGAGGGACGAATATCGTCTGTTGTTTTGACATCATTCGTCTTTGAAAGAAGAGACAAGAGATAAGTGACCAGAATACAGTCCCAGATTCCAACTGACTTGTGCTGTACTTCACTCCTGCAAATAATTAGTAAACTAGTCTAATATCTAAGGGGAGTGCCTTCCTGCAGCTCATATATTAGATTATTTTTATACACTAATTTAAAACATTATCATTTTCAAAAAGTTTAAAATGTTATCTTCAGCTTTATCCTTGGTATGTTTTACTCTTTTAACTCTTTCCTCTCTTTAAACATACCCAGCATGGATTCAGCCACATCTTTAATGGAGTAGCTGGATGATAAGGCCCAATATATCTGAGATAAAAAATAATATCCTGTAAAATTCCTGGGGTTTTTTGACCACTTGGATTCCCAGTGCAGTAGGTTAGGCCTGAACTGCATTTGTCATCTATTGTATATACAGGGTGTCCCAACGAAAACGAAACGACAGAGATATCGCGTTCGTCCAAGCAAATCGCTCGGACAGGTCGATTTTATTCTCAAGGGGGCGTCCGCAGATGGCGTGATGTCTTTTAACCAATGTGCGGTTGAGTCTTCAGATGTTGTCCGAGTAGCGTTCCTATGGCGCCCAGCATCGTCTGTCGAACGACTAAAAGCGCGGGAAAACAAGTGTGCCAGACGATTTTTATCCCGACAAAACAAATAATAATCTTAAATTTGAATTGAATCACTATGTGGTCAAGCTTAATGTGAAATAAGCTTGTTGACGTAGACGAAGAGGCATCTCACGGTATGACTTCTGAAGAGATAGGTCATGTCAAGAAGATGAGATTGCTTATCCTGTCAAGACAGTTACGTGTTCTTATGTCACTTTACAGTAAGTTATTAAATCTCAAAATACTGTATTATAACATTTGGAAACAGATAACACATTATCAACCTTAATTTTATGATCAACTTATTTTTCCTTGCATATGCGATCTAGCTTAAAAGGTTTTTTTTTTATGTTTTTTAATAGTTTGTGTTACTTTATTTGAAATAAATGTTTGTTTAGTTAATAAAAAATGAATAAGTTTTTAAAAATTTTGTTGTCTGTTGTATTCAGAATCGCAAAAACTTCATTGCAGAAGATGTCCCTCTTGAGAATAAAATCGACCTGTCCAAGCGATTTGCTTGGAAGAACGCGATATCTCTGTCGTTTCGTTTTCGTTGGGACACCCTGTATATAAATAGCATTATTCATTTCTTAATGACAAAAATAACCCAGAAAATTAGAAGTTGCCATTCATAAATTTTGGATTAAATTTAAAAAAAAAGATAGCCAAAATGGCACCCAACTTGGTCACTTTGGGCAGAATGTATGATCATTCTGTTAAATAAATGTTTTATTGGTGCAAAAATGCTATTTTTAGTTCAAAAATATTGATGATTTTGGCATTTTTTTGCTTATTATCTTAAATGCACTTCTTATGCAACTACACAATGTTCAATAAATGAATAGTTAAAAACTTTTTCTAGGAATAATTGTAACTACTTTATGACTTAAAAATTTAAGAAATTTATCATTTATATTCATTTATATCTTATTTTAACATTAATAAAATATATATATATTATATTATATATATATATATATATTTTTTTTTATAAATTTCATATCAAAGTACAATAACTCGAGTGTGACACAAGAACCAATATCTGGCATCAATGATCCAGAAGCAGTTTTTAATCGACATCAACCAATAACCATCGATCGAGGAGTTGGACTGATGCGACACAATTGGAGGAAGGAGAACACCTCACCNATATATATAATAATGTATTATAATAATATATTATAATATATATACACATTCATTTTTATTTTATTCTGAGCTTTTCATAATTTCTGTTGAACACTACAAAGATATAAGAAAATTTTTTAATCAAACACCAATTGGAGAATTGTACTGTTATTATAAAATAAGTTTCATACAATTTAAGCTGTGATAGAAAGAATCAATTTATTTCTATTATGTAGTTTAAAACAACCATAATAAATTCACATGTGAATATCTAGCTTTTTGGCATTTTGTATATTAAAAACACAAATGTCAAAGGAAAGATGAGTATTAAAGTCAAATGACTGCCAGATTATATCGAGCAATTATTTGATTTTTAATACATAACTATCAGGTTTGGATGTTTATATTTGTAAAGTCAAGTATCTACTTAGGCATAAATTTGTGCCAAAGTCTTATGTATTCAAAGTCATTATAATTCATAAGAAAAAAAATACATTTTATTCAACTTACTTTCTGTGGTGGAGACAAAGAATTATTGCATTCATCATTCATTTGCTTTCTTTTCAAAATTCCAGCAGTAGGAGATGCTGAAGGAGAATAGCTATGCTTAACCCAAGGTGAATGACTTTTAGACTGATCTGGAGATGAATCTTGATTGCTGGCAGTTGGCTTTGACTTACTAGGTGAAGTGACAGATTTACTTGATTTCCATGGCATTCCTCTTTCTTGAGAAGTGAAATTTCCAATGGCTGCCCTTAATATTTTTTGACTTCTTGATAAAGGAGATATTAAAAGATTAAGAGTTGTTTTAGGTTTTTTGTGATACTGTCTAATTTCCATGGCACAACGTTTTCTTGGAGAATCAGATCTAATGTTTTTAATCATTTGTTGTTCTTTAGGAGATTCATTCTCTGTTAATACTTTTTGATCTGATTCTTTTTCTTGAATTGAAGAATCATTATCCACTTTTGTAAATTCTACTTCTTTTGTTTCATCATTTGACTTTGTGGTTTCTATTTCCGCACAATTATTATTCTCTTTCTCGTCTTCACATTCTGTGGAAATCTTATCGTCATCTTTTACTGATGATTTTAGAGACTTTACCAGAACATTTGAATACCGTTTGGGTTTATGCCGATGAGTAATTCCATTCCTTGACTTAGGTCTACCTTTCATTCGAGGTTTTTGTATTGCTCGTTGTTTAGCTAATGTACTTCTTGTTCGTAATCTGGAAACTATTGATGATGTCATATTTGTGGTTTTCATTTTACGTCTCTGAGCACCTTTTGGTTTATCATCCTTTGCAATTCTCAAGTTCTGTTTTGTTTCAACATTACTCTGTTCCTTTTCATGAAAGCTTTCTTCTGAAGAACTTCTCCGATCTTTTTCTAAAAATAATTTTTCTAATTCAATACTTTTTAGTTTTCCAGCTTTATCAACCTTTGGTCGCAAATTCCGTTTACTACTTGTTGATACAGTTTCTACAGTTTTCTTCAATTCAGGAGTTTGTTCTAATTCTTCTTGTAATGAAGTTTTATTCTTTTCCAATTCAGATAATTTGGGTCCATCATTTATTTTCTGAAAATTATTACTTAGCTTATCAGAATGCTCAATACTTTGACTATTTGCTTGATTACTAGAAAATATGGCTCTGTCTTTTTCCAACATATTTTCACTTGTACATGACTTATTTGATATTTCTGGTAAAGATAAATTTTTATCTTTTAACGGAACTGAAAACTCATCATTTATATCACCTGAATCACATACTATTGTATCATTTGTCTTTTTCAAAATAGAATCACTTAAAGGCTTTGTTAAAAGATCATTCAGAGCTTGTTCTTTAGATTCCAAAGATAATATGTGAGTTAACATTGGAGAGTTATCAGAGGATAATGGGCAACTTACATTTCCTCTTTTTGTTTTTGAAAAAATACAATTTTGTTGTTGATCTAAGAAATTAGAAGAATAGCGAAACTTCTTGCTAGTAGGAGAAAATGTTCCTTTACATTTAAGAAGCTCCTTATAATTTACACTATCTATACTATTATTTCCCGAAAGTTCGAAATGTAACAAAGATTCTACTACTCTTCTGGTTGGCATTAGTTTACGTTGAGATTTCCGTCTTTTAGCTTCTGAATTATAAAATAAACACCTATCAACTTCAAGTGAGTCATCACAACTTTCATTGTAACTGTTGCTACTCTGGGAATAATTTTCATCATTATTATTTTGGAGTGAATCTTGTGATTCAAATTCTTCTTGAATTTGTTGTTCTTCTAAATTTTCAGATTCAATTTCTGACTGAGAAGAATTTACATTTTCTCCTTTACTTTGACTATCTGTATGATTAGAATTGCTTCCAGTACTGTCATCAATATTTGTTAAATCAACAATTACTTTTGAATTATCTACAGCAGATATTATGTTCACACTTTCAGAAGATGAATCTTCTAGTGATGATGATGACTTTACACTTTCATGTTCTGAATGTTCTTGAGGTGTATCTGTTATACTTTTTGATTCATTATTTAAAATATGTAAATGTAAGGACTGACTGTTCCTACTGTTTTCAGAATGAATATTATCATTTGAATCATTTAACGATGGTGTTTCATCATCACTTTGATCAATAAATTCTTCTGTTGCAGATTTATTCAAGCTAATATCTTTTCTATTTTGGCTTTTGTTAAATGACAACAAACCAGATCTATTAAGAGAATCTTGTGAACTTGGAATGGCCTCATCATCACTAGATTCTGCTTCAACTTTTAAATTTTCCTGAGACAATTTGGGAAAAAGATTACTATTCCTTTTATCATTTTTTACTAATGTCATAACTCCTTGTTTACAGGGACTCAGTCCTTTATTTTGTTTTTCATTATCAACAACTAACATTTTTTGTACAAAACTGGATGTTTTAGAAATTTCCAAATTTTCATTACAAGTCTCTTCAATGACAGGTTGACTTGATAAACTCAGACTATTCTCTTTTAGTGTTGTCATCATATTTAATGAGCAATCCTCTAAAACTATAACAGGAGATGATTTCAGTTTTATGTCTTTTTCTATTGATGGAAGAATTTTGTTCTGACAAGTGGTGACATCACTGGATTGAGAGTATTTTAAAGTAGGTTCATCTATCTCCAAAGAAACAGAACTATGTTGACTTGAATTAAATGTTCTTAAGCCATCTAAACTATTATTGTTAATTGCTTCAATGCTGTCAGATGATAAAGGTATTGTTTCAATAGATTCAATTATAATAATAGGTTGCTGACTGCTGCCATTGCTATTTTTCTCTTGATGCTATATTAAAAGAATTAGTTTGAGATTAGTTAATGTATTGATGAATAAAAATACATATTTTGTATTAAAAAAAAAATACCTTTCTTAATTTGGTTGAGTTTCCAAGTGAGAAATGTTCATTGCTTCTTTCAGAAAAACTAAATAATATAATTATACTTTTTATTTTACATTATTTACAATATTCATTTATCTTTATTCTACCTATTTTACTTACTAACTCAAACTAAAATTATTCCAGACAAAATAAAATATTGAAGTATAAAAATATAAGAAAATAATTATAAGAATTGTTATTTATCAGTATTAATAAATAAATAATTTTTAAAGATTCATGGATTAAAATATTATAATGAAAGAATTTATTTAGCCTCTAAAATCTGTTCTAGAATAAAAAAAATTATAAACAAAATTAATGTAATAAATTCAGCAGAATACAGTCTAATATTCTGAACAGAAGCATTGCATGACAACAAAAGCTCTTCCTGATAAAATTATTATTAAGGAATTTGAAACAAATAGTTGTATAATTTATAATAAAAATAACAAAAACTTTCTAGTAACACTATCTTCAATAGAAAAAAATAATTTAAATCCTAAATTTGTAAAGAAAATGTTTGGATACATTATATTTTATACATTTTTATTTCATCTACACTAAAATAATGTGAAAGACAATTATAATGCTTTTTAAAATCAACTTTTGAAAGAAAATACAAAATTTATTTTATATTAAGGAACAACCAAAATTAAAAATAGAAGTTAAAAATTTCATTTATGTCTTTACAGTATCAATGAATTTAAATATGTAAAGATCATTCATTTAAAAGTTATTCATTATTCAAAATCTTGATATATAATAATGTGATATAAGAAAATAAAAATGCTAACAATGTAAATATTGTTAGTACTTTTATTTCCTAAACAAGATATGATGTTGTAATTTGGCACATGCAGAGAGCACATTACAAGATTTTTCAGAATTGTCAAATTTCAGAAATTGTAATTATATGCAGTGTAATTATACATGAAAATTCATCAAAAACTTGCTGCATTATACATGTTAAAAAAATAAATGCATATGATCATTGGTTAAAAATATAATCAACTAATAAACAATAGCTGCTGTTAAAGACAGTATTGCAAAAAGAATCAAGTAAAGAAAACTAAATGAATTACTGTTAGTATATACATATATTCTGTATCAACTGGATATAAATTATAAAAAAAAAAATCACACCTTTAAAAAAATCCAGCAATGAAATTCTGAATATAACTGAAGATGATCAGTGAAGCTGATCAAAAACGTTATTATTTAGTAAATTATATCTGGATTTTTGTATGAATTACTGTTAGTTTATAAATCTTTATGTTATACATTTTTAATTGTTTTTATCATGTTCTTGTAATTAATATCAGTCAGTAAAACCAGAATTTCACTAACTGTACTCTTATTTACTTACCATGCTTAATATTTTCAGTTCATTCTTATTGTTACAGTGTTGATGAAGTGTTTCATACATAGTGTATATATCGGTGCTCAGTGATGCCAAACCAAAATCAAAGTATAACTATAGAAAAAATGATTTGTTTATATGTTGTTTTAGAAAGACTGTGTTAAAGAATTTCCCAATTATGTATTTATTATGGCAACCTTCTGTAATGTAATGAATGTTGTATGATGCCTGTGCAAGAAAGGACTACTTGCACAATACATATATTATCCATTCTCAATAGACATCTTAGTAAATACTTAGAACTCACCCATAAAATATTTTTAAATTTGAGTATTTTGTATGTTGTGAGTGTTTAGAACAGTTTTGTTTCATATGTATGTGATTTTATTTCATGAATATGATATCTGATCTGTTGTAATGTATTGTTTTCGCTGTAATTACAGATTGGTCATAGTATATTTTGTGTGTGTTGTTTTCTATGACTGTCTGTTGTTGTTATCATTAGCATAGGCAAGATTGAAACTAATTACAATGAGCAGATTCTATTTTATATGAAATTTTAAATAATTTTCATTTCCAAACTACTATTAATTATAAAATCATGTAATTAGTCTTATAATAATATGATTTTCAGCAATCATTGATTAGTATTTAATTATACAATTTATAAATTTAAATTTTGAAACAAGCAACAAATTTTAAAATTTCTGGAAGTTGTATTATTTCAACATTGCAAAATCCAAAGCACAGGTATAAATAAATTAAGACTAAATGAAATCAAAAATATAACATTGTATTATTATATTAAAGTCCCTGGATTCTAATAAAAAATTTTCATTGTAAAAATGAGAAACATAGCAAGTTTATTAAAACTTACACTTTGTTCCTTGAAATGTAATGCACAAATCAGCCTAATTTCATTAAATATTTAGCCCATCTGTCAGCTACATTAATTTTTTTTTCTTTCCAACTCTTTATTCGAAAGAGTTGGAAAGACTTTAAACTTATTTAGATCAACAAAATTCAATTATAGATGGCATTATTCATAACAGGAGAAAATAAGAATCTTATTTAAAGAGAAAAATAAAACAGTAATTGCTTTATCTTGAAAGTTATATGTAGTGTGTTTGGTTCATATTGTCTTTATTGTCTATTGATCAAATAATCAAATTTCATCTGTTTCTGTTCAAGTAATATGTTTCTTAAATTCACCGAAACTATTCTGTATTTCTTGCTATTTAGGAATCTTCCTCAGTTGTATCCATTCAAATTTATGACCGTTATCAACACAAAATAAATTTTGTGTTGGTAAGGGTCATAAATTTTCTAACTACATTGTGCATTTTCTAACAAATCAAAAGTTTTGATTATAATATGCAAATGTGTTTAATATACAAACTAGAGAGCTGTTGTTTTGGTTTCAAAACATAGTGCAGTGGAGTGTGTGCAATGATAGTCCTTTGATACATTTGATAATGTTCTTCTTCAGTGTCTCTAGATTGTCTATGTACATCTTCTCATTCAAGTATCTCTAAAGAAAAAATCTGGGATTAATAAATCAGGAGACTTAGGGGGCCACAAATTTTTTAAAAATGAGATAAATGATGAAGAATTCTTGCAATATGACCATATAAGTTGTCACTCCATTTTAAAAATCACTATATAAACAAGGAGCAAATTTCATCTGTATGCTGTAGCAGATAAACTAATTGTTTCTAAACAAATTTACTTAGTATAACCATCCTAAACCTAACATTATTAATTAAAGCCAAATGTATGCCATTACGTATCTATAGTCAGATATGTTACGACAATCATTTGGCTCTAAATTTACTTAGTATTCAAATACTAGTACAATAGAGCATCAATTATCTGAAAGTGCTCCAGTCGGCAAATTCAAATTTCCGCTAATGCTGTGGCACTGAAATATTTGGCTATGTCTTGGGCTACTCCAATGCTATTTTTGTTGGTGTGTGTGTTTTAGCTAGCAGCACTGGCACAATCATGAGAGGTTACTTAAGGACATGCCAGTATTTGAACGAGACTTTTTTCCCATCATAAGTGGTGATCTTTGTTTGTTTTGTGTGGTGTTTTTCTCAGGACTGTGTGTTGTTCTGAATTGGAAAGTTTTTGATACTAGATTAACTTCTAAAATATAATTTTTTTGTTTTTATATTTTTCAATATATTTATTTTGTTTGTGCAAAATAAAGAAATAATTTTTAACAATACAATAGCCACGATTATTATTTTAAAAAAAATTTTCATTAGGCTTAACATCCACGGAAATTCAATGCGAAGCGACACGCAACGGAGAAAAATTTCAACATGGGATAGGTTACTATATTTTTTCATACATGATCAGTTATCAGAAAAATCAGTTATCTGAACAACCCAGTCCTGAATTGCTTCGGATAATTGATGCTCTACTTTACCACTTATTTTTATTTTAATGTGTAATGTAAATTTAGAAAAAACAGCATTTAATTAGAATACAAAATATTCTTACTCTGACTGACTGTCTAAGCCAGCAGTTTCTTGAGAAAGATCATTATACATTGCAGGAACATAACTGCAAAAGAAAAATAAACATACAACATATACATTAATGTAGTAATTATTAAAATAGATAACTTTACTAATTATTAACTACTTGAGTAAATGCATGGATTATTTATGAAAACTAGCATGATTCTAAACCCTAAAACAAGCATTTGAAATATTATAGAAGTTAAACGTATATGTGAATAAAACATTTTTCAAGATTTTTTGAAACTTATTCGTATCTGTCTCAGCTTCAGATCTAAAGCTGAGACTAGTTTTGAATTTTATATTTGGTTATTTCAAAAATATTTTCTTAACATTATAGTATTTATTCTATCTATGGCTGATCAACTAAATTAAAAACATTTCTTCCTGGAAAACTAAGATTTATTTATTTGTCATATAAACTGCTCCAGTTTAATATTAATGTTCAGAAAAATCATCTGTATATACTCATATGTGTGTGTAACAAGGATTGGAGCACAAGACATGATAACTATTTTTTTTCTTAAAAATAAATAATGTCACCACAATATGATTGCACATCCCAAAGAGAGTGCTATCTGTAGTATGTGACAATGTCACTAGATGGCAGTGTGATGTACAGTTACTGTACAGAGAGCACAGGAATGTCAGTGGTGACTCAAACATTGTGCAGAATGGAAGTTACTCAGCATGAACAGCTTTCTTACGTGAAAATATCCATTCTACGGGGCAAACTGCCAGAGAATGCCACAGGGAGCTGATGGAAGATGTGGAAAATACCTTGCTATATCAAACTGTTCTAGATGGGCAGCAGTATTTCAGAAAGGACAAAATTCAACCATTGACCTTCAACATTCAGGACAAACCTATGAGTGTGTAGACTGATGTATCACATAAAATAACTGCCCAGTGTATGGGATCAGAGAGTTGATGGACTTGAGTTACAGGCAGAAACTGGCACTGACGTGAACTGTCCATAGGATTCTACAAGAATGCCTTCAAACAGAGGGTTGTAGCAAGGTAGGTGCTATTCACTCACTGAAATTCAAAAGTAGACATGATATACAATATGCTGCAACCACCTTACACACTAGAAAGAAAAAGCATATGTTTGACAAAATCATCACACTCAATGAATTTTTGGTCCATACATATGAACAAGAGCTCAAATGTCAATCAATAGAATGGCAACATGCAAGATCACCATGAAGATAGAAGTTTTAACAAAACCTTTCTCCTGTAAAGGTGATGGTGATTGTGACTTATGATGTCAGAGCATTGATACATCATTCCACATGACAGAACAGTGACAGCAAAGTACTACAGAATCTTCTTACAGAGACATTTACTTCATGCCATTAGGGACAAACATCCTGATCTTCTGAACAATGCAATACTGCAGTATGTGTATGGGAGCTACTCAATCACTGGGAAAAAGGGTACAAAAATACCTGCCATATTCATGGATCTGTTCCCCATGCAATTTTGACTTCATATCCAAAGTAAAAAAACTAATGTGCAGGAACAGTTTTGAATTTGAGAGGACATTGCCTTCACTGTGAAACATGAGATGTGTCCCAACTCTTACCTGATGAGGTGAATGATATTCAATGCCTCCCACATCATTGGCAGTGTGTTATGAATGCTCTGGGGAAACTATTTTGAGGATTCATAGGCAATATGTGGCACCTATTTTCTTTTTGTTCTGTCAATATAGCCTTGTGACTAATAAACATATGAAACAGAATATTGTTGTTTATGGTTTTTTCACACTTTCCTGCCTACCCATGTTACATGACCTGCATTGCTCATACTTTGAACAGTACCATACACTGCCCCTCCATTCGTATATTTTGAAGTTTCATGCTTGTCCAGCATTCTTGAGAAAAAAAAATTGCTGCTGTGACTTATGACACAACCCTTGTTATCTTTACTTTGAAAACTAAATTTTTGAAATTGTAAATTAAATCAATTTCATTTGTTTATGATTTCTGTGACATTTGATACTATGTTCTTAGAGATATAAAATATTCTAATAAACTAATTGTTACATGTATGTACATAACTATTTAAACAAATACACTTTACAAATAAATAAAATATTTTCTTAATCAATTAAACTAAATTTTTTTAATATTCTTTATATGCACAAAATGTCTATAGCTTTTTAAAAAAAACGATTCTAATAAAAATCTTTTATGGAAAAATATTTTATCTAAAAATAAAAAACAAGGTAAGTTTCTGAATACTAATAAGATAATAAAATTTATTAATATATATTGTATTGAAAATGAACTTAATTACTTGCAATAATTATCTGCTTTAAGCAAAAAACAAATAAAAAAAAATATCAACTAAAAGATATAATTTATTATTAGCTATTTAAATATTATCATAATTAAGATTACCTTCTTCTTCTTCTAACTTCTTTTTGATGTTCAGTTAATATTTGCTTGTTTTTCACTGGTGTTTCTATTCTAACAAAATGCTATACAAATAAAAAAACAAAAACATATACATATAAAATATGCTACACAATTTTCAATAATGTAAAAATTATAGTTTCAAAATAATAAATAAAAATCGATACAATATTTACCTGATCATCAAGATCTTCTAAAGAATTTAAACAATTTGGAGAGGAATTTTTATTAGGCAGAACAGATTTTTGTTGGTTTCCATTCATTGTTTTGGTTGATGGACTTTTCATCGGTGTGTTATTTTCCGCATTAAATGAAACATGCATTGGAATTTCAACTGAATCCTATATTATTAATTTTCATAATTATATTTGAAACACAAACACAAATACATTATTATTAACTTATATTTATTCTTAATGGAATACCACCATATTTACTCAAATTTCCCTTTGATTCAAAAAAAAAAAAAAAACAATCAGAAACTCAAAAAGAAAATATAATAATAAAAGAATGAGTTTCATATTATAAATTTGAAAAATTTTAGAAATAATTTCAGAATACAACTATTTATTTTATCATTTTAAACCATGATATTTGACAATATTTTAAAAATGTTCAGATTACTTTTTATCTTTTAGTTAATGAGAAATTACAACTAGTTTAATTCTTATCATCTTTTTAATCCATACAATATTTTTATAAATTTAAAAACTACCATTTCTCAGTAACTTTATAATAAATTTCAAAATGATTCATTATGAATGGCATGGATGGTATCATTCAAGATTGTTTTTTAAATATACTTCACACAAGGAGACTTGCATGCTGATAGTGATTTAAAAAAAGTACCTACATTTTCGTATTTAATAATTTTTGTTTATTTCATAAAATCAATGCTAAATTTAGTATTTCTTAAAAATCTTGAAATATTTATTACAATGTGTGCTGAGTTTTTTTTTAATTTAAAATTTTCTCATATTTAACTGATACCACACTCATAATTTTATGGTAGGCACATCTCAGTAGTTGAAAAATCCAAAAATAGAAAAATTGGAAATTTTTATAATTATTATCCAAGAAAACAAAAAATATTTGCAAAAAAAGATTTTATTATAAGTATATTCTGTTTAATTCTGAGAACAGAATACATTAAATCTTGTTATAATAATCTGCCAATGTGGAAACTATGTTTTATAATATGTGGATCATTCTGAAAGTTTCCAGATATACAAAAATGTGTGTGTGAAACTTATTGACAATGTTCACAATTTATGAAAGTATTCTCTGGGATGGAGAATGAAACTATTCATCTGGTAAAACCACTTCTGGAAACACACAGACAGTTCTTCAGGAATGATTGCCAATTGATCTCTGTAGGTATTGACAAGTTCTGGTGATCCAAAATGATATCTATGGAAGACTTACTTTACAGAAAGAAAAAGAAAAGTTGCAGGGGAATATAGGGTAGATGGCTAACCAGTTACATCTCAGAAACTTAATTGTCTTTGTGCTATGTGGGCAGATGCTTTGTCACCATGAAGAAGACTCCAGTATCCAGTTTTTGGCTGTCTCCTACAAATGTCCTCAAAGACCTTAAACAAACATTGGTGTCCCATTCAGCAGTAACAGTTTTTCTTCCCACCATGGAATGATGCAAATGTGTCCAGTTTTTCAAAGGATACAACCACCATTTGCTGACAAACACTTCTTGGCCACTTCGTGTTTAGAGGAATTTCCTCATCGGAAAAAATCCAAACATGGGATTACTCTGGGTCATACTGTTAGACAAATTATTTCATCACCAATAAAGACTCACAAACATTCTAAAATCTATTTGCAAATTTTTAAATCATGTCCTGACACCATTTCATACAAGCCTCCTTTTGTTCCTCAGTGATAGAATTTGGCACCTAACAATGTGACGTCTTTAGGCAAAGATATGTGTGAACAATTTTGTATTTTGCTGCATGCTGCTGATCCAATTTACAAAGTGTTCTCAATGCCCTTGTAAGTTTTCTCTAACCAAGACCTCATCATGAACCATATTTTCCTGGTCAGGTACAGCTGAGAGGATGGCTATCTATCCTCATTTTTCAGGCTCATTCTATCATATTGAAATTCACCAAACCATCAAAAAACTTATGTCCATGATGGATAGGCAACCAGAAAGACTGCCTTCAAACATGTAAGGTCCTATGACTCAAACAAACCATTTAAAATTGTAAAACATCATTGCCCAAAAATGCTCATGAGTCATTGCTTCTTTCAATCAAAATGGCACCACTTCTGTTTGCATGCCTGCAGGTGGTGACAGACAGGACTAGTGACATCTCTTGGTAAAAATATTTACTAAAGACTGCTTCATTACATATGCAATAAATGTTACTGTACATAATATATTTGCCCCACATGGAAACTTTTAGAGTGACCCATATGTTTATGATTTTCCATATTTAGGTCGAGATGTACAGTACAATCTCTTTTTATATAACAAATCTTATTTATTATCACAATCCTATGTTTTAATTAATAAAGTTGTTATGATGGCTCTTAAATAGGTCACAAAAAATAAAGAAAACTTTTAAAACTGTACATGCTTCCACATTGTTTTAATTATTTAAAAAAAAAAAAGTTTTATAAAAACTAATTCAAATCAATACTTTATTTTCAGAATTTGCTTCTTTTAAATTAAATTTGCACCAAAACTGAAAGATAGTTTAGGAGTATTAATCATAATTCAAAAATTTTTTTTAAAATTCACAAGAGGCCCTCATAATCTGATTTCTGTATATGTGAATGATTTTCATTAATATAAATATTTACAATATTTTGTTTCTTTATTCAAAGTAGACATATATTCTCAAGAATTACTTTTACAAGTAAATAAGGGTTTTTATATTATCTTGAAAATATAACAAAGTATTGTCTTTTTTGGAAGAGGTAAAAGCGACTTGGCATTAACTGTCGTCTTACCTTCTCATGTCAAGAGGGTTGGATACCTGGCCAGAGATATCTCTGCCCTCGAGCCAGTCCAAGCTTCATAACGAGCCTTTACCATATTTTTTTCTTCTAGAAGTACAAGAGGGATATGTGAGGAAATATGGTAATTTTCCATTATCACTGTTCTAATAAACTTATTTTTTTTATGCTTAACTGTATTACCTCACTTATTGAATTGCTCATTTCCTTGACAGAACTAATATTGGGAATAAGTGCTGGTTTCAACTTTTTGATTGCATTTCTGAAAAGTTTAATAATATATGTAAAAATATTAAATTAGTGTAAAATTGTTATATTTAATAATTTAAAAATTTTTAACAACAAAAAAACTAGTACAAAGACAAACCAAAATTTCTCTTTCTTAACATGATATTTATTGCAACAGTAAATTCTATAAATGTAACATCAAATACTATATTATTTGTAAATGGATAAGTATTGGCTATTTTAAAGCATATAAATAACTCATCCAGTTATGTAAAATCATTAATGATTTAAAAATTTTTATATGAAAAAACAGATATTAAACATAAATACATAGTTATATCTTTTTTCAAGATTATTTATTGTTATAGAAATATATCTGGTTGTTAAATGATTAACTTATGTGAAAAAATCCTATAACAAAAAATGTAATAATTAAACAAAATTCATCAGTATTATCAAATATTTTCCATATTTATTTTGTTTAATAAAATGTTTTCAAATCAATTAAAAATTGCACATTATAGAAATTAATGTATTATTTTTCATGCTACTTTTGCTTAAGCACAAGAATACAAGAATATATTTAAAAAATGATCAAAAACATCTCTATGTAAGCTGAAATGAGTTTTATATTTATTTAAATTTATTCATTTAAATAAATTAAAGTCTTGCTGAGAAGAGTATTTAAAGGTTTTGTTCAAGATAAAAATCATCAATATAGTAATTGAACTAATTTATATTCAACAGAAATAATATTGCTTTAATAAAATCTAAATGATATTGTGCTGTTTATGGACTTAAAGTTTAAGTTTTTGATTATTAAATGAGTATAACTTAAAAATTTTGAATATTCCCTTATAAATCTCAGATAACACTTGCAACAATTTAAACAATCAGCATAAATTTGTACGCATTACATAGTAATTAATACAGACCACAATAACTTAGCAATTTTAAACATATGAATTAAAAATTATTTACCTAAAATCAGTAGGTAAAGTGATACTACTGAGATTACATCCAAATGTCAAATACCAAAATTGACGTGTACGATCCACAATGCTTTGTCGCATGTGAAAGAAACACACTTCCAACAAAGGGGCAATAGAAGTGAGAATTTCTGTATCATAGGGACCAGAATAATGAAGCTGAAGAGATAATAAACAGTTTGTCCAAAATGACTCCAACTATTTAAAAATAAAAAAAAAATAATAAAATAAGTGATAATTTATACAAACTACTGTATTTATTCCATATCTTTAATTGTTTTTATACTCACAGAATTAAAAAATTGTGTGTTACTTATTTTCTCATAAACATGATCCTTTCTTCCAAACTTAAAAAATGGAATTAAAAATGGTGCTAATCTGCAGAACAAAGTTATCAGGAGACTAGAGGAGCTGATATTAGTGACTAGTTTTTTGACTATTTCTAGCAGATTATTTGCACAAGTAATTACTTGTTTCTAGAATTAATATATATATATTATTATAATTTCATTATTATATTAATAATAAAGTAAATATAAGAGATTTATCTCAATTAAAATTATATTATTCACATATTTTAATTTATTTTTAGAAGAATCATGTGAACAATGACTGAATTAGACCTAAAGTTACTACAGAGTTGCATAGTAAGAAATACAAGGATGTTTGATGATTTCACTTGATAGCTTTTTAATTCAAAAATGTCTTATTTATATTAATTTCTCTTCACTTAAATATTTGGAAATGGTAATGGATATTTTCCATGCTTAAAGATTTATTTATTCATATTAATTTAGTTATTGTTATGAATTTAGTGAAATACTTCATTTACTGACAAACATTATGATGTGAATAGCAAATTGTATTTAAATTTAATAGTTAGCATTTGAAAGCGAGAAAACCACAAAACAAAATTATTCCAGCTGGAAAATCTTGGTAAACCAAATTTATTATTCTTTGCAAGCAATCAGAAAGGATATATAATTCTTTCAAAAAGATCTACAGAATTTAAAATGAAAACCATCCCATAGCATTATTTTTTATTTGCTTATAGATACAAGCAGATTAGTGTGTGTTAAAATTGTGATGTCTAATATATAAATGCTGTTTTGTTGGGTGCCTGAAAGAGACTTTGCCATAATTTGAAATAACTAAATAAATAAATTCATACACTATCCAATGATAGTTATTAGTTGAAAAGTTCTATGGAATAAGGTATCAAAGTGCACTTAAATACTTTTCTCAGTTAAGTGTTTTATTATGCACATTGAACAGGATTTTATGAAATTGGATATAATAAGCACTTTACTCAAGTGCATTTAACATACACTTTGCTCTTTTCACAATAATTCTAAAAAAAAGTTTTTTGAAAATTTCCCAAAAACAACAAAATTTAACTTACATACCTTTTTCCATAGAACTCCTCAATTATATTTTAAAATTAGACTAAGAATTTTTAATTTAATCCAAAATATTTTATTTTTTTAAAATAATAGAGATTCTCCTAACAATATGCTTGACTTGATGACCATATAATCCCTTACATTGCTTGTTTGTTGATACATGCAATGGCAATGTAAACAAATTTCTTTGATTCACATTTGAAAGTATCAACCACACTGCAGCAGAAGTGCTGTATTGTGGTTTGTAGATTTTTGTATAAACACAACCTAAACATCTTTAGGTTTCATCCTTGAAATCTGCAAGATCAATTTCATCCTTGTAGCCAAAGTCCTTCATATTTGTTTTTTTTAATACTAGAATCATTCATACAAACTGTCTGCATTGATTTCATTAATTTATGATATACATTAATTTCATCATATCTAGTAACATATAGCTAGTCCAATAGCACAAACTCTTACAGTCAAACTCCTAGAGCAGGGGTGGCCAAACTTGGCACATTAAATGATTACATGTGGCGCTTCAGTTTGATCTGAGCAAAATTGCCAGATTTGGTTTTTTTGCGATTAAAAATATTATATAGAAAAATAAATTTTTATAGTCTGTCTTGGCAAGTTCATTTGTTTCACAATTCAGCCTATTTTTCAGGTATTGTATTTCAGGTATTCATGTATTGTGAGTCTTGCGATCTTTATTTCCGATCAGTTTACAGGCATGTAAATGGTTGAAAACATTTACTGTGATTAAAGTTATTCCAAGCTGATTTTCAGTGCCAATAATTGTGGTGCAGAGTAATCTTCACCAAACGAGACTCTGGCAGCTATAGCACCATCATCAAGCAATCACCCTCTGGTACAGGAGATCATTGCTGACTATTGTAAATTGGTGTTTCAATAAACTGTCATAAATTAATTAATTCAACTGCGTGATTAAGTTACTCCCTTTTTTCTCCTAAACAAAGCAGATTTATTCTTATCTCTATTTATCAACGCCTAACATTGAACGTAAGACTGTATAAAAAGTGTTCGATTTATATGACGCATCTGAACTTGTCTGTCAGAAAATTGCGCATTGTATGCAAAAGGTTGGCCACCCCTGTCCTAGAGAAATTACTAATATGTATTTTATCCATTAAGTATGTAATTCATTAATAATGGTTACACATATTTTTAGTCTAGTGATTACATCAATGTTATACATATTCATTTACAAGAATATATGTTAAATGATTCTCAGAATGGTGTAAAATATAATATTTGAGAATAGTTTATAAACTCTGTACTTACATTCCTTTCCCTTCCTTTCTCATTATCTTGATTTACTTCAATTAATTTTGGAATTGCAGACAGCAGTTTTTCAATTATCAAAACACAAGAAGTCATATTATGCAATGGCTTTTCATTTTTCTCTTCCCAACTTGTTAGAACTACAATAAAGAATATTTTTCCATAGAATTTTTAAAGTAGTCCTATACATGATTTTATATCTATATATTTATAGCTCATATCATCACATTTGAAAAATTTTTAAATTATTTTAAACTAACCTGAGAAATCTTTCCCCCAAGAATTATAATCAAATGAATCTATAATTGTTTCTATCAATTGGCACATAATTGTTAAGACATGAAGCATCTGTACAAAATAAAGATTAAAATTATTTTAATAGAAAAAAAACCTTATTTATAATGAAATTACAACTGTTATTACCTAAAACTTAACTATTACCTTACAAACTTTAAAATATTTATTAATAGGATAGCAAATTACATTAATTTAAATACAAAAATACTAACCTGTAACATTTCTTCAGGAATTATTTCTCTTATCTTTCTGCATACTAATTCACAAGATATATTTGATTGTGCAGACTGTACTAAAGTAGCACATCTTACAAAGGCTTTATACAAGTCACACCAATTTTTCCATAATTGTTTTTCACAAGCCTGAGATTAAATATATTTATTAAACAAATAAGCATATAAACTGTAAACTAAAGTAAAGAACATACCTGAAGTAAATTGCATGTTATAAAATGGTTTAGTGGATAAGAAAATACCATTAAAAAGCATGTAAAATCATAAGATGAACCACTTCCCTGATTAACTTCTTGTGTCTAAATATTTTAATTTTTTAAATAAATAAGAAATAATTAACATAAAATGATAAATTTAAATATTACCAATGTAATCTAATCTGATCACAAAACAATTTGAAAATATTTGATTTTTTGTTCATTTTGTATTTGAGATAGTCCATATAATTTTCAAAAATTATCGATAGTTTCCAATATACAACACATTCTCACTTGACATCATTGAGGAAAGATACAAGTACATCTGTAATCATTTACAATTGTAGTTGTTAAATTTTTTTTATAAACAGTAAAATTAATTATACGAGATGGAAAATAAATGCTGAAGGTTGTAAACATACTTCAGTTATAATAATATATCTTGTTTATATCATTTAGCCTACAGTGAAATTGATTTTGTTACATTTGTTTCACTTAATGTCATTGATTGGTTCTTGGAAACTGCAATGTTAAGTGACTACTTTCTGTAGTTAACAAGGTATTTTTTCAAAAATAATATCTGCAACATTATCAAACATTTGAACACTACAACAGGAAAACAGAAAATCTGATTTATTAAGTATTCAAAAAGAATTTTATAGAAAAATCATTAGCTTGTTTCTGATAACAATTAATTCATAGTTATACAGTGTCCTGAATTAATACTTGGCAAACCTCCTTGAAATTATGCAGAGAGGTTTGTTTATTAGGGAAATTGATGTTATTAATTTTTGGTAATAAAAGGTTGAAGGGGTAGGGAGCTAAAGGGAGTCATGTATATCTCCAGTAGAGTCATACTTAATGATGATTTTACTCATTATTAGCATTTACAATCTTATAAAACCCATCCCTACCCTCAAAATTAAGTTTTTTGCCATTTTATAATAGTTAAAAGTATAAAACTTTTTAAATAAAATATCATAACAGTAACAAATGTTGCCAGAAAAGTTAAGCATCTTGTCACTGAATTTTTAAAAAAACATATTAACACAACATCAACGTTAAATAAATGTATAAAAACAAAATCTAAACTACAAGTTTCTTTAACTTTTAGTTTTCAGGTCACTCTGAACTATTTATGGATTTACAGTTTCAATGATTAAATTTGAGATTCAGTTATTCACCAAAAATTAAAATTTAAAAAGATCAGATTAGATACATTTAATTCTTTTCCATTTATTGTCATAACTTATAACTAACCTTTTGAATGATTTCTAGAAGTTCAACACATATTTGTGACCATATTTTATATTGTATTTCTGGATTTGATGCCGAAGACAACATTTCCATAACCGAAGTAAAGTATTTTAGAGGACATGGCATGTCACGAATATATGATAAAAAGCGGCTGAATATAGTTAAATATCTGTGTAGAAATGTTGTTATGATATATAAATATCAATTACTTTTTATCATAAAACTTCCATTTTCATTTATATTTTTACATGTTAAGTATATAGTTAATTCTTAAGTTTAATTATAATTTTTACCACTAAGCACAATTTTCCTTTCAGATGTCAGAAGATAAGCTAATAAAAGTTCACACATAAAATAACAAACAAAATAAATGCTAACTGATTAATTTCTGAATTTACTAATCCTCAAGTATTAAATGTGAATATAGATATAAATATCCCAAAGAAATAATTAAAAAAGAAATAAAAAAAAAATGTTTTTGAACTATATAAATTTAAAATGAAAGTTTTATTAAATATATTCATTAAATGAAAGAATTCTAACATACTTATCTGATGAATGTAATGGTGCTATTATATCTGTTCCTAACATGAGTGACAAAAATGCCATCAAAGGTACATTCTGAAAATTTTTAAAATATCTTATTACAAATAAACAAAATTCTTATTTTTTGTTTGCTATACTTACATATTTAATATGTCCATATTCTATATTACACTGATATGTTGTTAAAATTTCTTTGGGAAAAAGTGAAACATCATCTAAAAATTTCTGTAAGTAATAAATTTCATTTAATATTTCATAAAGCATATATGCATAATCTTAGCCAATAAATTATCAAAAATAAATAAAAACTTACAAGATTTTGATTGGAATTAAAGTATTTATTCACTACAATATTTGAAAGGAACTGTAAATATTGAACCACAGCATCTTGTGCCATTTTACTTTTGTCTTCTGTTATTGACAGTGTTCGAACAGTTAATAACTTTACAATGTAATAATTAAAATGAACTAAAAATATAAATTTAACACGTGTTAACAATACATATGAAATATATATTCTTTTGTGATAATAATCAATTATATACTTCAGCTATTTATAAAATTTATCTTACCATAAGTTGAATTATATCCAAAATTACAGAGAGCAACTTTTGTTGCATGGATTAGAATATGAATATTTTGAATATAGACTGAATTTGGTAAAGATGACTTCAATGGCACTAAAAGTTTTTAAAATCAGAAATTTATTTTTAGATAATTATTAACTACTTATACATTAAGATTAAATTAAATAAAAATCATTCAATGTTGTAATTTTTGATATCATTTATATTTAATTTATTTTTCAAATAATTCAAATTAATTACACTAATGAAAATTGTTACTATTGTTGATGTGTCTCAGAATTAAGAAGTATGTCTTTTCACAAACATAAACATGATAGAAATACTATAATTTTTTAAAATTGTCAAGAGCTGAAGAAGAGTTTAGACCAGAAACGCTTTCTAAAATGACAATTCAAAATGATTAATTTTGCCATGCTCTTTTAAACACACATCTTGTATGACTTACATTTGTCAAGTTTTGAAATTTAAGAAATACAATAATTTTTTGTATTACCTGGTAGTTTATAAAAAAAACTATGCATTCTGCAGTTTGGGTAATTGATTTCATTAGGGACAACCAGAAGTCTAGAGCTGGTTGCCTGATGGACAAGAAGCAGTTATTCTTATCCTGATAATTTCAAACCCTGTATTTCTTTAAAACTCTGCATTACAATGTTATCTTGAAGCATTTTACATGTTAAAAAAGGAGTTTAAATTAAATTCTCATTGTATAAATTAACATGAACATTGAGCAATATAGCCAAAAACATCTATAATCTGTTTCAAGAAACTTCTGATTATTGTTTTAGGCTGTGAATTTAAGATGATGCTAATTCTAAGAAACATCTGTTTCAGACAAGGAAAAAAATCTGCATCTTAGAATTAAGAAAATACAGCAATTAGAAAACTTGCTTATTATAATATCAAATAAAGTTTATTGAGTAATATTCTCAGCTCTATTTTGAGCTATTTTCAGTTTATAAGTGATGGAAATGTGCAATGACCTAGAAAAGAAACATTTAAAATGACAATACATGATAACAATAATATTTTTAATTGAAACATTTTCAAAACCACTAAGTTTTCAATTTATTGAAGAAAGTTTGAAAGCCATTATTAAATTATAGAATCATTTCCTTGTTTAGAATATATTCTTTTACATTTTATGCATTACTGATATATATTGATAGTAAGAAAATTCTTAAAATCAGACATTACTCTATGTTGCAAATGATGATGATGATATTATTATTATTAATTATCCATGTAATTTTTATTTTACATGCAATTTTATGATACAAACAATTTTATTATAAAATTCTAAAAAAAAAAACAACTTACAATTTTTAAATTATTCAAAAATTCATAATTTAATGTAATAAAAAGAAATTTTGTCTCATACATAAACTTATATTCGGAACTATTTTTGGACTGTTTAAGCCTCCTGAAGATCCTTTCTTTGATGGCTCCAGTAAACGAATAAGAATTTCATATCCAAGTTTTTGTACTTGTTCATTCTTAGGGCCTAAAGATGAACGATCATTTTTCTTTCCTGCAAAAGAAATTTTTTGAAACTTCTTAATATAGGCAACAGCATGTATGTGTGTATATATATATTATATTATATTATAGTTAATTATATTAAGATTACCTAACAGAGTTAACTATAATATATACACACACACACACACCCATATATCTTATAGTTAACTCTATTAAGTAATCTTAAAATATCTTAAATAGACAACAAATTCTTAATTATATTTTTGTAATAAGATTTACATGTTATTTAATTCCTGTAATTTTTACAGTAAAACTATGCTTAATGCGGGGGATGCATTCCTGGACGACAAAGCACTAAATGAAACAGCGTTAAACGAGGTCATTTATTTTAACATAGAGCAGTGTTTCCCAAACTTTCGACATCTGTGTACCTTTAATAACAATCAAAATATATTTATTTTTTCCTTTTTTAGTACATAAACAAAATAATAATGAATGAAAAATTAAATTTATTCATAATAAAATATAAATGAAATTTATATTATAAATAACATTTATTAGGATCAACGAAAAGGATGAAATTGTTTATGTTGAGACGACAGTTTATATAATATCGTTCCTAGATATAGCGATATGGACTTTAGGTCTCATTTTCGTCTTTCTAGAAGAATTATCGAAGTAAGTCTCTGCTAAGAATTGTTAGTTGTAGTAACTATCTACAGAAAAATTGCTTTATTTGGCATTTTTAGCTTTTTATTAATACTAAAGAACATAACAAACTTTTCCTATTAGAAAAATCACACAAAAGCTAAAAATACACATGTGCATGCTGTAACAGTTCAATGTGTAGATACTGGAGGTTTTTGTGTGACTTTGTGTGGGCCATAGGGTGGAGGAACACACAGAATCACAGCACCCAGTGAAACCATTAACAAGTAACAAAGTTTATTATTATTTTTCTCTGTTTGTAATTGAAAAAAAGTAAACTGCTTGTTACACCAGGCACAGCCAAAGCGCAACTAAACTCTTCCCGTATCCCTAGGGGTACACGTACCACACTTTGGGAAACACTGACATAGAGTAAATAGAGAAAGGGAAACATGCGACCAAAAATAAACAGATTTTACTTTAATTTTAAGTTATTTTTATACTGATTTGCATAATAATATTTGTTAAATAACACAAACATATGCACACAGAAATGCAAAGTTCATTTTTTCTGATGGAGGTCCCAGCTTTTCTGAAATTCTTATTATTTGCGATAAAGTTGTGTAGTTTCATTTGTTGCTTTTTTTCTTTCCTTAAGCAAATGTTAGTAGCTGATGATTGCATCCAAAATGCTTCGTTTTGCTTTTGTACTCCTTTCAAAATCTGGATCGTTTGCTACAATTTGATCAATGATTTTGGTTATCATCACCAAACTTTTACTAAGGAAATCTGTAGAGAAATTCTTTGGGTTCTTCGTTTTCAGAATCACTATTTTCCAGTTCTACATGAATTCCTTGTTCTGCCAGTTCTTGAAGGTTGTCATTGGTAAGGCTCTCACCACAAACCTGCAATAACTCCTCCATATCCTGCTCGTCTACATCTTCTAGTCCTGCTGTATCGATACAGCGATAGGCTCTTCTCATTGAGAATACTTGGATACCTTTAGCCATAAATTCTTCCACACTTCATTCATGCATTCATCAGTTAATTCTTACCATGTGAAGTCGATATTGCCTATGACATCCACATTAGATTTTTTCCAAAATTACACCAAACATAGATTTTAGACTACAATGAATTGCAAATAATCATGTTATAAATGAATCAACGAAATGCCACGATAATTTAAATCAGCGTAAAATTTTGAGCTCTTTCTAGGCTTCGAGCAGACCATGTTATATTAAATCAGCATTAAGCAGGGTCTTACTGTACAAATATTTATCTTTACAGTCAAAACTTAGTGCTCATTAATTCGCATATTCTGAAATTTTATTATACAAGGGTCAAGATCTGGTGATTGTGGCAGCCACAACATTAGAAATGATCAGCTAATCATTCTTGTGTCAAAAGCCTACATGATTGTTATGCTTAGACAATTTCTCTGCTGTAATGATGAATAATGAAGGTTTTTTTTCATGATGAACTCAGGATATTTTTCTTCTAATTTTCAATTAGAGATTCAGACTATGTACAAAAAATTATTTAATTTTTGAGTCTATCAATTGATCCTTTTTTCATACACCATAGAAGTAGCCTTTACCTTGGTTTGAAGAAATCACTTCATAAAAACGAATAACAATAGGTAAAATTTACAATTAAAAACGATCAGACGTCAGCCTTTCATTTTAGGTATCTGACGCCTTAACATTAAAAATTTAGTAAATCTTCTCACCAACTGCCAAGTTTTATACCATCTGTATCAGGTTCAAGCCCTCTAGTGGTGGATACGAGTTATCTTTGATTTGCATATAGTTTGATTTGCATATATGCATATAGCCACCACTAGAGGGCTTGAACCTGATACAGATGGTATAAAACTTGGCAGTTGGTGAGAAGATTTACTAAATTTTTAATGTTAAGGCGTCAGATACTTAAAATGAAAGGCTGACGTCTGATCGTTTTTAATTGTAAATTTTACCTATTGTTATTCGTTTTTATGAAGTGATTTCTTCAAACCAATGTAAAGGCTACTTCTATGGTGTATGAAAAAAAGGATCAATTGATAGACTCAAAAATTAAATAATTTTTTGTACATAGTCTGAATCTCTAATTGAAAATTAGAATGAAGTTTTGGAGCATATCCCTATGCAGCATTAACAAAACATGTCACTGACCCAGATGCAGAATTTTCTTCATAAAAAAAGTAATAGAAAGGACTAATAATAAAGAATGCTATGAAGAATATGCAATAGTCGTGAGTGCAATAGAATATGTAACTTCTTTTATACCCAAAATTCATTAGAAAACATACATAACATGTCCTAGTGGCTGAATTTTCAAATAAAATTTTTCAAAAAAATCAAAACTGCATATTTAAGATAGTATGGATAGTATATACACTAAATTTAATTGAGATTGGACTTAGTTCTTTCTACAGAATCTGAACACTTACTCCAATCATGATCACCATATATATATGTAAAAAAGTACAAAATATAGCAAACACAGTGATACCTTGTACTTTGAATTTAATTCATTCCAGGAGGCCAAAAAAATAATAGAAAGCGAATTAATTCATTCCAGATTGTAAACAATACTCATTTTGATAAATTTAAAACAGCAAATACACAGAAAAACTAACACAATTAAATGCCCTAATAATTAATTAAAACACGAAAACAATAAATAAATGAACACTGCATTTACTGGATACACTATGTTGACTTTGACATCTTAAACATGGCCACTAGATCCACCACACATTTACCACTTTCATAGCACATGTAAGGTTCACATTCACATCTTGTTTGAATAAAATTAAGTTGAAACAACTTTACATAAAAAGCATATCAAACATATTATGCTTTGTGAGTTTTGAAAAGAAAAGAATACAAACAGTAACAGAAAAAAAATTTTTGTAATGTTTAGGTGTAAGATGTTCCAAAACTTCACCCAAAAACTGTCAATGAACTGCAGGAAAAAATTGTTAAAAATCAATGAACAACACAAAAAAATAAAGTGAAAAAAGTACTGAAAGCATACAAGTGTAATGCAAGAACGAGAGATGACTTGGTCACACAACAGATTGCATTTATAATTTGAGTAAATTTTTTTTCTCTGCTTGTACAGTTCAAACTTTGAAGCATCAATCAAACTATGAAGCAAATTTTTGTCAAATTTAGCATACTTCAAAATGATACTTTGTACTTAAAAAACAAAACATGTATTTAATATAGATCTCATAAATTCAATACTTAAAAAAAATTTTTTTTAATTTATTTTAAAAGCATTTTTAACTTTAAGATATAATAATTTAAACTTAAACTGGAAATATTTTTAATGTCTAAAATGCTGAATTTAGAAGTCAATGAAAATAAAATTATTATTTCCAAATATAAAACATGCTGATATATGTACAAAAATAAATCATTGATTAGTTAATTTATAAACTAACTATAGTTTATATTTAAAATCTGATTGTTTTAAAAAATAAATCTAATACATTAGCTTCAGAAAATCAATTCAGAAAATTAGCTTAAAAATATTATATATTTACTGTATATTTCCGCAGATAAGACAATACTTGAATCATAAAAAAAGGTCCCCAAAATCCAGGGTCGTCTTATAGGACAAATACAAAAAAAAAAAAAAGATTGAAATTTATATAAATTAAAACCATTGTAAAAAAA